AACCAAAAATCCATGAAAACAAAAATCCACGAAAACAAAAATCCACGAAAACAAAAATCCACGAAAACAAAAATCCACGAAAACAAAAATCCATGAATCAAAAATCCATGAAACCAAAAATCCATGAAAACAAAAATCCACGAAAACAAAAATCCATGAAAACAAAAATCCATGAAAACAAAAATCCATGAAAACAAAAATCCATGAAAACAAAAATCTACGAAAACAAAAATCTACGAAAACAAAAATCTATGAAAACAAAAATCCTGAAAACAAGAATCCATGAAAACAAAAATCCATGAAAATAAAAATATACGAAAACAAAAAATCTATGAAAACAAAAAATCTATGAAAACAAAAAATCTATCAAAAATCCATGAAAACAAAAATCCACGAAAACAAAAACCTACGAAAACAAAAAATCTATGAAAACAAAAAATCTATGAAACAACATCCATCTGTACTTAAAAATTATACTATAATCGCATTACTTATCGTGTCTAGCAAGTTAAATAGTGCACGTGGAAGGTCGTCAATAGAAAGAGGGAACCGTAAAATTGTTGGTCAAATACTGCCAAATTTTAAAATCATGGAAGCAGAAAAAAAAAAATGGTTTCCACAAAGCGTTGCTTATCTCCTTTACACAATGTTCCAATTATAGACAGTTAGGAAACCACACTACGCAATTCTATATGTACAATCTGGATACCTGACACTCTTCTCGTAACTTCCTTTCTACTATTTAAATAAAAAGATGTTGCTTATTATTGCCTCGATTTGCATTACGTATTGATTATACAAAATTATTGCTCGGATCCTAATGCGCATTAAAATATATTGAGAACGCACGTGTTAGCCCATGAATAGAGTATTTATGGAAAAAGACACCATTATACGTATTATGGAGAGCAAACAGTTTTCTCTAAATTATCAACACGCGAAGAATACGTAGCTGCGTTCAATCTTGAGATTTTGAGATCGAGGGTTGACGGTAAAAAGAAAAGAGTATCGTGATGCGCTGCACGTTTGGATTTCAATAGGAAAAGAAATAAGTCAGAAAACAAATATGGTATCAAAAAACAAACAAAAACATCACAGTTAAAAATTTAATGTGATTACTTATAATAATTCTCGAACAGATGGGTTAAATAACCATATTCTTCTTATAAGCACAACGCAGCGTTTTTTAACAGATTTCGCAATCCATTGTTGTCATTAATCAAGTCCGAGGAAATATAGTTATATATGTTGAAAATTCCATATGTTTTCGCAACCTCAAAATATACGTACGTTTTGTTATATTCATAATTCGCGAACGTAGGTCTGAACTTGTCATGTTTGTTCGGAAGATAGATTTGTTGAAATTCACCAAACAGGAAATTTTTTTATATTGTGCAGATACTGTAGATCATAAGTTCGAAGTCCTGTCCATCTGAGAAAGCGATGCATTAATGGTCAAGAACTTCATTCCTGCAGTTTAAAATATAATGATTTTAATGTGCGAATTGTGATCAATAAAATTAAGGCAAAAATATATATGTATCTTAATATACTTACAATCTATGTTTTTTAAAAAATCGTTTGCGCCATCATCCAATACGTATTCAGTACACAAATTATTCGTATTCGTTTTAATAAATATCAAATAAAGAAAACCGTTAAAATACGATGTTTCATCCGTTCCCGGCGAAGGAGATACTTATCGATCGACCATACAGTATCACTAATACGTACGTTCATGAGGATTATACGGCTACTTGCAAGATTTCTAGTATGTGGGGTAAAATCATAACATAATTAATAACGCATTAGCATTAAAATGTGATAAACTCGGCGCATGAGTAGAGAAATGAGGGATTTTGAGCTGGAAACAAACTTCCTGGAAAAACGTGGAGCAACAAAAAAAAAAATTCTCAATATTACGTACTCGTTATTTTGAGTCCTTACATTTCACAAGGTTTGGTATCACGCCAGTATTCTGATGAGATATTAACTCATCAGGATAAAATGATCAAGGAATCAAAATAAATCGAGGAAACGTTATACTGTAGAATGTAATTTTTTTTTTTTTTTTTTTTTTTTTGTCGCCATGGTTTTTTCTTGAAATTTATTTTCCGATTCATTAAATCACTCATTTCCTTCTCATATATGAGGTCATCCCATTTTAACGCTGATTATAATGTGTATTACCGTGGTTTTCATTTCTCTGTCAATTCTTTAACTTAAAATGTTCGAAGTTACGTATCGTTAAACGTATATTGTTCGAAATCGGAAGCTACGAACTCTTTACGTGTTGGTGGAGCGGTTATCATATGAACAGCGGTCGATCTCTTTCTAGGTGGGGGTAACACTCGTCTCCCATAATTGCGTGCGATATGACTTCCATCACCGTTACGTTGATTTGTGATTTGGAATACTGATTTATGTACCTCGTAACTATGAGTGCCTTGTTGTATGGAATATCTTATAAAACGGTAGTGCGCATCTTTCTCGTGATTTCTTCACCTTTCTGTTTCGGAACCTGGGTGAGTTAAAATGATTTTGGCCTAAAAGACCAAATAAACCGAGCTTATTATTCCTATCGGTGTGATCAAATACCCAATTCTAAAAATAACAAACTTCCAATGACTTCACCTTGGCGGTTCTATATCCATTATCGGTTTTAATTGGAGTTCTGATAGCAAGGTCCGAGGACATAAAGGCTGGTTCTCATAAATATAGGTCCGAACTTGATAAGTTTGTTTGGAGGTATGTTTCTAGAATTCGTTGATATTCCCTAGCTGAAACAAATATTCTTGTAATTATATCTACATTTCTGAATCTAGCAATAAGGTGCTTCAAGGGCTAAAAGATCCATTCTCGTCATTCATAATACCATGAAAGTTGAAATCGAGAGCCGAAGCAGAAGAGTCTTGAAATGCGTAGGCGCTACCGTAATATGTGGATTTGACATCACTATAATTGATGATGTAATGCTTTTGTCTAACCCATAATAATTACGCAAGAAATCAAAAAATGAGAAATTTTTTCGAATGTTGATGGTCGTTCTCTTCTGTTGCCACTTAATTTTCTCCAAAGATTGCTTTCCATTTCATCGAATCGTGTCTATTAGACATATTATATGTTAAATCACGTTCTCGAAATACTAAATAAAAAGATAAAATGACATGATGCACTGACGTAAGTCGTGCAAGGAGTTATTATCGCCAGATAAGTGCGCCGTGAGATTATTTATTGAAAGGGTGATCGGGTGTAGATCGGCTGAGTATTTTCTTTCTTTGCCCTCCATCTATTCTGGCCTTTCGAGAATCCTTCTCACTTAATTTCGGTCAATAAATGCTAAGACTAGTGCGCTGCTCCTTCGAGTGGGTCATTATAAGGATGATTGCGCGGTACCTTCGCGTGAGCCTGCAGGTATTGAATGTTCAATTGATGCGTTATACCATTGTTTACTAAGATGGTTGCACCTTATCTTCACGTGGGGCTTTCCGTAGTAAATGCAAATATTGGAAGTCAGTGCGCCAAATCGTTGCGTAGGTCATTGTAGAAGTTGATGCGCTGTTTTTTTGCATTTCCATTAGTTATAACTTCATGAAAATTGGTGCGCTACACCATCGCGTGGGCCCACTAGGGAAATTTATGCGCTGATCTTCGCGTGAACCGTTCGATAATCGTTACGCTGTGCCTTTGCGTTGGCCGTCAACAAAGTTGTTTCTTTGAAAAGCTACCTTCGATTCTTTTTTTTTTTCATTCGTGATATCTATAGTTTAATAGAGTATAAAAAAGGTTATATGCAGTCATAAGTTTCAATTCGTTCTATATTGACATAGTAATCGCAGAAGGATTATGCATTTGAAGATATGAGTTGCGCGACGTTGCACTATTCCATATTGCTTCTTCTTGTAGCCATATATTATAACGGATCTGCGTGAGAATATTGTTAGATTATAAAAGTGCTCAAAATGATTTTAAACGAATGAATATGTGGTGAATGAATTCCAATACCTTTGTGCGCTTCTGAATTTTAATATTATGGGGGAAGTAAATCTGAACATGTTCACCGCCTGACAAAAGCTAGAAAAATTTGAATTGCATTCTCTGGATATTCTTGAATGAACGCGGAAATCTCGGGGACTATCGAACAATGCTTCAAGATTGTGTCATTATTTCCTTAGAACCTCCGAAAAGTGAAAATGGAGAAATGAGACAAAAAACAAGAAATTCAAGTCAGAAACTATAAAAAAAACTCCACCAATCGATTAAAAAAAGATACAAGTGAGTGATGTAAGATAACTAAAGTCTCTTAAACGCCTTGGGAATGGTCAAAGAATGTGACAGAGAAGTCGAAATCATTAATATTTGATCTGGGTTAGAAATAATCGACCCGAAAAGAAACTTTACAAGCTCCGATATAAACATGAATAAGTTCGATCAGTAATGAATTACTTCTGAATAGAAGAATTACAAGTTGAAGTGGCACGGACTAAGGGAGCGTGTGGTAGTTTTTGATGTCGCAAGTGAAATAGTGATGGGAAGCAGCTGCAGAATTATCAGACTAAAAATCGAAACATGCAGATGCTGATGGAAAGCTGTTTTTTCGGAGAAAACTATGAAGTACGAAATTTTGACAAATAAAAATCAAGGACTAATCAACCTCTCGGAAAAGGGACGGTGAAAGGAAGCTTATACAGTATCCATTCTAATCCATAAAAGGTTATCCCCTTCCTTAAAATCTTCACAAGCTATTATCGGCACTATCGTTCAGATTCCGATTGAAACCAAAGAATACTGCACACTCATTAATCACCTTTCTGATGGGTAAGTTATCACATGGCCATTTCTCCTCTGTTCTAGGGGATATTCTACATTGGTGGTTTAGCTAGTTTTCCGGAAATTTCGTGTAGAACAAGGACATCACTGATTCATCTTGGTAGTGACTGTGATAATTAAGGATAATTTTGCTTAATTTTTATAGAAGCATGACCATAGGTAGGTCGGATCGTCTTTCAGAGTTAAATACTTCGTTTTCATGGCCGAACATGGAGAATTCTTCCCATGGATTTAATAATTTTCTGTCATAATAGATGAAGGCTAAAAGTAATCGTCAACCTTGACTCCAGTTTCCGTCTAGGCCTGACATAAAGTCATTCAGGGGTCTAGAAGAATGAAAACAGGTATTATTGTTTATCCTTGCTCAGAAACCTATCAGAAGACAATGAAGTCACGAGCTAATAATCCCTATGGTTCCCGGACGTAATAGATCTAGCCAAAATCAACTGAGTAAGAAATAATCCATGGCTTTCACCGTTGGGAAATGCCGTCGTTAATTGAAACGTCTTAAATGGATTGAAACTTCGATAGCCATGTGATCTATCATGAGATCTCATATCTCGAAAATTTCCTTTTCTGGTTTCTGATATAATTCGTTGAATGCCTTGAACGAAAATCTGCTGAATTTGATCGGTACCTATCGAAATTCGTGAATATCGGTATCTATTTGTTGCAAATATCCTAATTAACTGAATAGGCGGGCAAATGAGTAAACGGATAGGTGGCGGATAGCCCGGTGAATAAGTACACAAATATTGAGTGGGTAAGAAAACGGATGGGTGTGTGTGGCAAGGTGAGTAAGCAAACTAATGGCGAGTGAAAAGTAAATGAATGTGTAACGAATGGGCATATGGGTAAGTAAACGAATATGCGAGTAAATAAATAAACGAATAAGTAGATATATATATGAACGAATGGGTGAGTGGATACGTGAACGAATGAGTATATTGATAGACTGGTGGTTATGTAAATGGATAAATGAGTAGATAATTAAACGGATGAGTGGGTGGATAAGTAAATGGATGAGGGTGGATAGACAGGTGGATAAGCAAACGAATGGGTAAACAAATAAGCAAACTAATGGATAAGTAAATATGCAAACGAATGGATGAATAGGTAAGCAAGCGGATGGCGTGCATGGTTAGGTGAGTAAGCAAACAAATGGGTGAGTGGTAAGTGAATAAATGCGTAAAAAATAAAGGCACTAGTCGGCAAGTAAACAAATTAGAACACCCACCCATCCATTTATTTACCCATCTCCCATCCATCTATCCATCCGTTCTTCTCCATCCACTTATCCAGCCACCTATTTGTTTAACCACTCGCCCATTCATTTACTTATCCACTCACATATTTATTTAACCTAACCATTTACTCAATCACCCGCTACTAATTCGTCCACTTACCAACTAATTGCAGGCGGGTAAGTAAATGAATGAGTAGGTGAATGAGTGGATGATTAAGTTAATAAATGTGTAAACAAATGGTGTGTGGGTGACTAGGTAAGTAAGTAAAAGAATAATGAGTGAGCGAATGGATAGATAAATAAATAAATGGGTGTGTAAATAGAATGGGTGAGCGGGTAAGGATGAGCAATAGGTAGGTAAGTGAACGATAAGTGAGTGAGTGGATAGCCAGGTGGGTAAGCAAACGGATGGTGGGAGTATGATAAGTAGGCAAATAAACGAATGGCAAGTGATAAGTAAATGAATGAGGGAGCGAATAACGAATGGACAAGTAAATGATAGGTGGGTGAATATGTGAACGAATGGGTAGATGGATAGACTGGTGGTATGTAAATAGATTAATGAGTGGATAAGTAAACGGACGAGTGGGCGGATGGCCAGGTAGGTAAGCAAACGAATGAGTGAGTGGGAAAGCAAACGAATGGATGTGTGGGAAAGCAAACGAATGGATGTGTGGGAAGGTAAACGAATGGATGAGTGGAGTGACAAACGAATAGATGAGTGGAGTGACAAACGAATGGATGGTGGAGTGACAAACGAATGGATAAGTGGAGTGGCAAACGAATGGATAAGTGGAGTGGCAAACGAATGGATGAGTGGAATGGCAAACGAATGGATGAGTGGAGTGGTAAACAAATGGATGAGTGGCAAACTAATGGGCGATTGGTAAGAAATGAAAACGTGAGTTAGTATATAAATGTAGATTTGGTAAGTTAACAAATGAGAACATTCACCCATCCATTTATTTACCTACCTCTCATTCATTCCTTCCGTTTACTTACCACCCAATTATCCACTCACATACTGTATCTGTTTACTTACCCACCCGCCCATCCGTTTACTTATCCACTCACATATTTGTTTAACCTATCAGTCTACTCAGCCATTATTACGTAATTCATCCACTTACCCATTAATTGCAGGTGGGCAAGTAAATAGATGAGTAGGCGAATGAGTAGATAAATAAGTACATATATGTGTAAGTGGCAAGTAAACAAATGATTTGAGTGACTAGGTAAGTAAACAAAGTGAGTGAGTGGATCGGTAAATAAATAAATAGGTGAGTGAATAAGAATGAGCGAACGGATAAGAATGAGAGAATAGGTAGGTAGATGAGTGAACAGATAAGTAAGCAAACGATTGGTTGAGTGGGTAAGCAAATGGATGTGCAGGTGTATGGCACGGAGAGTAAACAAAAGAATGGGCGAATGGTAAGTAAATAAATGATTGATTGAACAACGAATGGGCAGATGGGTAAGTAACGAATAAGCGGGTAAATAAGTAATGGATAGGTGGGTGAATATGTGAACGCATGGATGAGTGGATATGTGACCGAATGAGCAAATGAATAGAATGGCGGTTATGTAAATGGATAGATGAGAGGACAAGTAAACGGATGAG